ATATTCCTTTAATGTCATGGCGTTAACAAAAGTGTTAATATCAATCATCCGTAGCCTATTTTGTAAACTTTTTTTTAAGTGCTCTGTTTGATTTTGTCATTTTGTCATTCCAGATGAATTTAAAAAGCACTCTCTAAAGCGCGGTGAGAAAATCATCTGGAGGTATAGGTAAAGTGTTAAAAATATGAACTAATTTTTAGAAAGAGCCAATGTCTTAATAACCAGTAAGTTTCCCTGTCAGCGTCAAATGTCTTTTTTTTTTTTTTCTCCAAGTTGCTAGTAATCTATTAATTTCTTCCTAGTCTTTTTCTTTGTGTTAATAACCCATAAATCATTCAAATCCAGGGTAAATTTAATTCCTAATGCTTTCAAATTGTTTTCTTTGCCATTGTTTATTCAAATCTTCATAGTATATCCCTGCTTTCTGGCAGCTTTTGGGCCAATCCAGATTGCTTGAATCTTATCTATGTTTATCTTTAGTCCTGACATGATGTATTATGTATTAAGTGTGTCTATAGCAGAGGCTATAGAGTTTTTCATCTGAGCCATCCAAAATAATTCAGTGTCATCTGCATATTGACCTAATTTGTGATGCTTGATCATAAATTACAATTTGCCTTTATAGTTTCATGTTGCCTTATCATGCATCCTGGAGTTTCAGTAACAAAGAGAAGTAGATATGGAGATATAGGATCCTTGCCACAACCCTTTGATTTTGGAAGAAATCAGAGATGCCCATTCTGAATGTACATGAAGTTGTGTCATATGTTAAGACGTTAATCCAACATATGGCTTAGCTGAGACAAACCAAATTTTATTAGGACCAAATTGATGGAAATCCTTAGAAACTGTGTCAAATGCTTTTCGAAAGTTACTTTCCGTTAGGAGATAAATACACGTTTTTTGTGTCTGCTCTCATTGACATCGAGTACGGGTACAGCAGTGAAATGTCATCAACCGGCCGTTTCGGCTGTCTCCCATGGTAGTATCTGGAACTGCTCATTTGTGACGTCATTCGGACTTTACGTCACAATATGATTTTAATGACGTCATCACAGCTGCCGACGTAACGAAAATACAATGATGTGAGCAATGTTTGTATGTATTAATACGCAACGAATTTCCGGGAATCTAATACCATTTGATCACGTTTTCAACCAATCAGATTAAAAGAACACAGTGGCTTTTGGTTTACAATCTAATAAGGTCTGTAATCGTTAAATTTCTTACATCCCTCTGATCCAGAAATCTAAAGCTTCCGTTCAGTTTGTTATGTCTTCAACTGATTTGGAACGAGGTTATGATATGTGATATTCTACTTCCGGAAATACCTTGAGCGAGGAAGAATGCAATTAAACACCAAATAAGACGTGACATTAAGAATTACACGGATGTAGACTACAAATACCATGTTCATGAACATGTCTTGAAATATTTTTGGAATATTCATTAATATTTTAATAGATTTAACGCAAAAAACAATCCTCGGAAACAACAACACATTTTCTGATGACGTAATCGCCTGTAAATCGCGGGTCATCGTGCCGATCTATAACTGTTACGATAATGAATTAAATTGATCTTATAACTGGGAATATACATTGCTTTTTACATCATAAATATCATGTCTAGAATAGTTATGGAAACATGAAATCTTTCTAGGAACGTGCGTAAAAACAAAGCTCTCGATTGTTTACGACCGAGGCTGATCTATTACAGTACGTAAATATAATTGGTAGGTGGGGATTAACTAACAACAGTAGAAGGATAATATGGTAACAACATGCTCCGCCAGAAAACAATCGACGGAGAAGCCAAATAGATATGAAAGTGGGATGATTGGAAATTATACTTCTTACTGAGTTCATTGTCGGTGAGTCATTGGCTTCTGTAAGTTTTTGTTTTGTGAGTCGCTTATCATACCTCAATAGTGTATAGCATAGCACATAAGAGAAGTACACGAATGTCATTCCAGCTTCACTATCGTCACATTGAGGAATTAGAGGTCTTTAACGGCTTTTAGCAGAATATTTCAAACCAAACGTCATTACATAAAAATAATGCATTTACTAATATTGTTGGTTTTCATTTCGCTTTAGATAACATTGTTCAAAGCAAGGCAACAAGAATGTACCACGTGTGCTACAAGAAGCTGTCGACGATTGCAACAAGAATGTACCAAGTGTGCTACAAGTGGCTATTTTGATAGTGACAACAGTTATCGACTTTGAAACACCCATGCACTATTTGTGTTAAAGGAGGATATTAATCATTGGTACAAGAATGCACTAAGAGAATAAAGTACCATTACCCATTGCTGCAAGAAAGCACTATGAGTACAAAAGGTCAGTAATCATTTCCCTGCATGCTATCGACCGCTGCAACAAGTTGATAATGTGACATAATTTTACAGGGCGTTATCAACCATTCGAACAGGTGACATCACTTACATGCTTTAGGGTGTTATCAACCATTTCAACAAGTGACATCACTTACATGCTTTAGGGCGTTATCAACCATTTCAACAAGTGACATCACTTACATGCTTTAGGGCGTTATCAACCATTTCAACAAGTGACATCACTTTACATGCTTTAGTGAAGCGTTATCAACCATTTCAACAAGTGACATCACTTACATGCTTTAGGGCGTTATCAACCATTTCAACAAGTGACATCACTTACATGCTTTAGGCGTTATCAACCATTTCAACAAGTGACATCACTTACATGTTTTAGGGCGTTATCAACTATTTCAACAAGTGACATCACTTACATGCTTTAGGGCGTTATCAACCATTTCAACAAGTGACATCACTTACATGCTTTAGGGCGTTATCAACCATTTCAACAAGTGACATCACTTACATGCTTTAGGGCGTTATCAACCATTTCAACAAGTGACATCACTTACATGCTTTAGGGCGTTATCAACCATTTCAACAAGTGACATTTCATGCTTTAACAAGTGACATCACTTACATGATTTAGGGCGTTATCAACCATTTCAACAAGTGACATCACTTACATGATTTAGGGCGTTATCAACCATTTCAACAAGTGACATCACTTACATAATTTAGGGCGTTATCAACCATTTCAGCAAGTGTCATCACTTTCGCCGAAAATATCCTTTTCTAGTTTGAAATTGTATTTTATGAATATGTAAGTTGGTTGATATTTAATTCACTAGAGTTGTATCTTGTTTCTTCAGTGTCCTTCTTGATTATTCTCTCTGAGGGCGTTATCGACCATTTTGACAAGTGACATCACTCTGATGCTGCAGGGCATTATGAACCATAACAACAAGTGACATTACAGTGCATTATGAACCAATACAACAAGTGATATCACTTAGATGTTGTAAGGCATTATGAACCATTACAACAAGTGACATCACTGATGTTGTAGGGCATTATGAACCATTACAACAAGTGACATCACTCTGATGTTGTAGGGCATTATGAACCATTACAACAAGTGACATCACTGATGTTGTAGGGCATATGAACCATTACAACAGGTGGCATCACTCTGATGTTGTAGGGCATTATGAACCATTACAACAAGTGACATCACTCTGATGTTGTAGGGCATTATGAACCATTACAACAGGTGGCATCACTCTGATGTTGTAGGGCATTATGAACCATTACAACAAGTGACATCACTCTGATGTTGTAGGGCATTATGAACCATTACAAGAGGTGGCATCACTCTGATGTTGTAGGGCATTATGAACCATTACAGCAAGTGACATCACTCTGATTTTGTAGGGCATTATGAACCATTACAACAAGTGACATCACTGATGTTGTAGGGCATTATGAACCATTACAAGAGGTGGCATCACTCTGATGTTGTAGGGCATTATGAACCATTACAGCAAGTGACATCACTCTGATTTTGTAGGGCATTATGAACCATTACAACAAGTGACATCACTGATGTTGTAGGGCATTATGAACCATTACAACAAGTGACATCACTCTGATGTTACAGGGTGCAATCAACCATGACAACAATTGACATCACTCTGACGTTGTAAGCCGTTTTGCATCCCTTGTGATGAAAGAATCACGGTCAAGCATGTCTTGCTTGACTGTGTTGAATATTACATCACAAGGGATAACTATTTTAAATCACGAACTATGAAGGATCTTTTAATAGTATCAGTTCTCATGTAATTATTGCATTTTTAAAAGAATTAGATTTGTTAAAGGATTTGTAAATAGATAAATATTTTATGATTGGAAGTTTGAATTAGTAACTAAGAAGGTTAGTGGCTGTATCCTCGAGGGGGAGGGGGGGGGTGTGTGTTTAAAGTACTGTAAAAGTATTTGTCCTCCTGAGAGGGTACGTAAGTCCCAAAACATTCAAGGTAAATTTAAACTTTCCTTTTTTTTAATCGTAGAATATGTGTAATTATAATGTATGGCTAGATGTATCTAAATTGCTGACAGCTGACGAGATGATGTAAATCCAGCTAGGGCCCATGCAGGAAGCAAATGTACTGTAAGTCACCATGGTCTCTAGTATGGTGATTTAGCTCCAGTTGTTGGCAATCTATAGCCGGTTTTTATATTGTATTGTCATTTATAGGTAAAATATTTTAGATTTAATTACTAGTCTTAAATTTATTTCTGTGATAATGTAGTTGTTTTACTGTTCTTTGTCGACAGGTGTTTTATAACGTTATTGTGTTTATTGTTAATTTATAACTTTTTAAGTCACAATATGGCTGTGAATTTTAACTCACTTACTCACTCACTGACATTGTAAGGCGTTATCAACTATTACAACAAGTGACATCACCTACACGCCATATGTACTTTTACAACAAGTAACATCACTTAGATGTTGTAGGGTGGTGTGACCCAATTGTTTAAGGTTAAACGATGCGGAGATTCGTTCAACATATCAATCACAAACTGTGATGCTAAGCATATTATTTGTAGCGGAGTAGCGATGTATTCATCGTCCTTCCATACACGGACTTACCCTTTACAGGCGAAGTCGCAGGCGAGATCGAGGATGTCGTTGGTGAAGAGGACTTTGCACTCCTGTTCACACTCTTGCTCCGTAGCGTCACTGCCAAACCTATTCACCACAGCGCTAACCAGACTGCGAATTTCAGTTTGGTCGAGAACTACAACACAGAGTGAGCGAGGGAATGAACGTTGTCTCAAGCCAGTTCAGCAACATTCAAGTTTATGCCTCGATGATCTTTCAAATTACAATGGTGACCAGCATGCTTATGTTCTCGCATCGTATATTCGTGTCAATTCACCTGGACAACCATATTCGCCATCTCTCTGTACACAGAAAACCATTCATTCGGGACTTTCTCTCAAGACCGTATCAGAAATTTTTCTGTGATTGTTTCGCCGATTTAGTCAGATATATTTTCAAGTGATTTTTGCTCGTATGCCAGTGCCCGCTACTCTCACATATACACAGTTTCGCGATTTATATATTTGCCTACGTTAAAATAGAGATTCACCTTCGGTATAGATCCGTATACTGTTGTCAAGCAAGAGTGCTATAAGAATATATACAGAAACGTCGCATAATAATGTAATAAAAAAAGTGTCATCCACAAAGTATCTAATCTTTGCTGTTACGTCTCTACTGTCAATCAACGAGATTGTGCTTACTGCCTGCGAACAGGGCTTTCTTCTTGCCAAAGATCAGAGGCAGGAGACAGAGGAGGAAGATGGCAAACTTCATGTTGATGGTGCTAGCTTCTGTCGTCAAACCCAGGATGAAGTAGATAATATATCATAGACTCGATATTTCAGCGCATGTTGTAATTGATGATGTACGAGGGGCTATCAAGATGTTTTGAGCCTAAATTATTTAGAGGCAGAACATCGATGCAATCCCCATTTATTTCTCAACATAATCGGCTTGTAAGTCGATGTACTTGGTCCATCTTGTCGGCCAGACATTAATGCCTTGTCTACAGAAGTCTTGGTCGTGAAGCAACATCTCTACAGATGTAGTGAGTTCATTATCATCCCCGAGTCTCCTACCACGGAGGTGCCTTTTCAGAGTAGGAAACAGGTGGTAGTCACTTGGTGCCAAGTCTGGAGAATAGAGTGGGTGGGGTAGGATTTCGAATCCACTCCACGCCTGAGTTTGCCACGGCGCTTCTCCTTGATGGACTGTCTCCCTTTTCTTCAGTAGGGTACCATAATATTCCCTATTCATCGTAGTTCCTCGTGGAAGGTAATAGATGTGGATGATGCACAATATGGTGGTCATAACCTTCCTGGACGATCTGGACAACTTGAACTTCTTGGTCGGAGGAGATTTGGCGTGCTTCCACTCCATGGAGTCCTGTTTGCTCTCAGGGGTATAGTGCTGAATCCATGTTTCATCACAAGTAACTAACCTAAAAAGAAAACCATCTCGTTTTTGTTTATATCCTGTTCCCATGGAATTACTTATGGTGACCCTCGTAAGCTTCATTTCGTTTGTGAGTATTCTTGGGACCCATCTTGCGCTAACCTTAGACACGTGGAGATGTTAATGCAGGATGGTTACACCTGATCCATATGAGATGCCACTTGTCTGCTCCAACTCATGGATGGAGATTCGACGGTTGCTCATTACCAGGGTATGCACCTGGTCAATGTTTTCCGGGCTGGTGTTGGTTGTGGGCCGTCCAAGCTGGGGGTCATGCGAAGAATTTATTGCGTTAGTTTAAGAACAATTATTTCATGTTATTTCAATGGTAAAAAGGTGAAAATTCACACGTCTATAGACGGTAAACACGCTGTCTTGCACCTCGCCAATAAAGAAGAAAATATCATGAGTCATCACTGAACCGGTCTCTGCGACACCACCGCAGGCGATTACGCCATGGAAGTCTCTCGAAACAGGTTCGACAGCTGGCCTTCTTGGTCGAATCACCACTTCACGCAATCGATTCCTGACAGTTTGTGTGGTCGGAAGGTTTTCTCAAACCAGGGATGCGCTGTGGAGTCTCCCGGATGTAGCGGTCCTGGGCTTGAGTGGGAATTCTTGGACGGTCGCTTTTCGGGCGATCTTGGGGGGAATTGGTCCGCAGGAAACGATCCCAAAGGCGAGATATGGTGCTCTGAAATGTCGGGCAACTGCAGACTGTGACTACATAGTGATAGATATCGCACGCTTTTCCGCTTACTTGCACGTGCAGTGGCGAAAAGTTCTTCAAACTTCTAAAACAAGGGGAAACTTAAAATTGTCGCGTTTTGGCGCTGAAGTTGTAAATCACACAAAGATTATGTTTTTGAAAGAAATGGTATATTTGAATTTTTTTTGCCGCAACTACATAATGCCAATGTTCGCAAAAATCAGGTTTCTTTTTTTGAAGAGTAACATCAGTACGCATGTGCGACATGTCTCAGAAAATATCTGATAGGTATTTCAAGTTCACGGGGGGGAAAGAGGACAAACCTATTATGTATAGATTTCTTCGATATACTGCAACGGCGACGTTTGAAGAAACATACGAATATTATTGTGAAACAGTAATGAGCATGGTACCTGTAACGGGTTGGGGGGTGGGGGGTTGTCAGGATGTTTGCTGTAAGTTTTGAAGAGATATACAGATAAAACGGATTTAAAAGAAATATAACAAATATTTTTAAAAAGTCAATGGAAATCTTTACTCGTTGTTGTAATTTGTTTTTCAAGTCTCAATGACAAATTCTGGATGAGCAAACTGCAAGACGTAAACTTTGCTAATATAACGGCTTGTCAGTTATGACAGTTTAGAAATCTATGTTACTTTTTTTTCTTTTTTTCTTTTTTTTTTATTGTTCCCAATGTGATGAGTACAAAAACAGGATGAGTACAAGCATATAGAGGAATGTGTGCACATGCAAGCTAGTGGGCTCAATAGCGATATAGTACACTAAGTGCACTGAATATAAATGTTAGTGATATGTTCTTTGTTTAATAGTCATTCAGGGTTAAATTCAGGGATGAGAGGAAACCATTTGACTAAAAAGCTTTCAACATTATTATTTCTTCTGGCGATGAATGATTCAGTGGTGAATATGTCTTTCAATATCCTTAAGTAATTATCAACTTTTAGAATTGTTTTTGTCAGATAAGATTATGTGGTTCAATAATGGGTTCTTACCTAAAAAGCCAAACCAAATCAAAGATTTTGTCAAATTAAGTGTTTGGATACGTTTCGTTGTCCACTGTTCAAGTTTCTTCCAGAAAGTTTTGGTTTCATCACATTCCCAATATACATTGCATAAAGTTTCAACAGAATCATTACACAAAGAACATATTATATTGTCCACCAGATTCATTCTAAAAAGTTCTTTTTTGGTATAAACAATTCCGTGCAGAAATTTATATTGAAAATCTAACAGTTTCACATCTCTTAAATTTTTGCTACAAGTATGAAAAATCAAATGCCAATCAAAATCAATACAGACAAATAATGTTTCCCATTTTTGGCACATGTGAGGTTTAACATTTTCAGATAACAATTTATCATAAAATGATCTTGAACCTTTTCTTTGGGATATGAAATCCTTTTGGAGTGAATTTATTGTGAGGTCATTAATGTTTATATATCTATATTCCTTTAATGTCATGGCGTTAACAAAAGTGTTAATATCAATCATCCGTAGCCCCATTTTGTAAACTTTTTAAAGTGCTCTGTTTGATTTTGTCATTTTTGTCATTCCAGATGAATTTAAAAAATACTCTCTAAAGCGCGGTGAGAAAATCATCTGGAGGGTTAGGTAAAGTGTTAAAAATATGAACTAATTTTGAAAGAGGCAATGTCTTAATAACAGTAAGTTTCCCTGTCCGCGTCAAATGTCTTTTTCTCCAAGTTGCTAGTAATCTATTAATTTCTTCTAGTCTTTTCTTTGTGTTAATAACCCATAAATCATTCAAATCCGGAGTAAATTTAATTCCTAATGCTTCAAATTGTTTTCTTTGCCATTGTTTATTCAAATCTTCACATAGTATATCCCTGCTACCAGCTTTTGAGCCAATCCAGATTGCTTTAGTCTTATCTATGTTTATCTTTAGTCCTGACATGTTGTAAAATGTATTAAGTGTGTCTATAGCAGAATACAAGTTTTCATCTGAGCCATCCAAAAATAATTCAGTGTCATCTGCATATTGACCTAATTTGTATTCTTGATCATCAATTACAATTCCCTTTATAGTTTCATGTTGCCTTATCATACATCCTAGGATTTCAGCAACAAAAAGAAATAGATATGGAGATATGGGATCCCCTTGCCTACAACCCCTTTGATTTTGGAAGAAATCAGAGAGATGCCCATTCTGAATAACACATGAAGTTGTGTCATATGTTAAGACGTTAATCCAACATATAACCTTTGAACCAAAACCAAATTTTATTAGGACAGAATTGATAAAATCCTTAGAAACTGTGTCAAATGCTTTTTCGAAAAGTTACTTTCCGTTAGGAGATAAACACACGTTTTTTGTATCTGCTCTCATTGACATCGAGTACGGGTACAGCAGTGAAATGTCATCAGCCGGCCGTTTCGGCTGTCTCCCATGGTAGTATCTGGAACTGCTCATTTGTGACGTCATTCGGACTTTACGTCACAATATGATTTTAATGACGTCATCACAGCTGACGACGTAACAATACAATGATGTGAGCAATGTTTGTATGTATTAATACGCAGCGAATTTCCGGGAATCGAATACCATTTGATCACGTTTTTCAACCAATCAGATTAAAGAACACAGTGACTTTTGGTTTACAATCTAATAAGGTCTATGCAATCGTTAAATTTCTTACATCCCCTCTCGTCCAGAAATCTAAAACTTCCGTTCAGTTTGTTATGTCTTCAACTGATTTGGAACGAGGTTATGATATGTGACTTTATTCTACTTCCGGAAATACCTTGAGCGAGAAGAATGCAATTAAACACCAAATAAGACGTGACATTAAATTACACGGATGTAGACTACCAAATACCATGTTCATGAACATGTCTGCCCGAGTATTTTGGAATATTCATTAATATTTT